ATCTTCTAGCCCACAATTCCATGCATTCTGGAGGCATTCAGATTCTCAGCTAAACCCACCTTACTTAAACTGGGATTGCTTCAGCAAACTCCTCCTACAGCCCCTCCCTACTTCTCCCCAGTGATCTTACAAGATCTCTCTGTATCACTTTCACTTCAAGGAAGCACTTTACCGCTTTTCTTTCACATATCCAAATTAACAGTATCACTATACTTGTGCTTTGGGGCCATTAATAAAATGAGGATTACCTGAACACAAGTACTCTGGTACCAGTGTTACCAAACAGAAAGTGAGGTGCTGCTGCCTGCTGCCTCTAGGCAAAATTCTAGAGGCAGAGGTTTGGTGAAAAAGGAAAGGAGTCCTTATTCAAAAGCTACACAGTTTTGGAATCACAGCTTTCCACATGCATTAGTCATTTAAGCCTATTACCTAAGGCTGAAATCTTTCACTCGAGTTCCAGCTTTAATTATTAAGCCTATCAATAAAGGCTAAAAATCTTTAACTCTTGAGTTCCCCTATCATTTCCCCTGTTAGTTTTTAATTATCGTATTTCATTAAGGTTAGTTTACAAACTCAACATAAGACACAAAAGCTATGCAATTTTGTAAGAATGGCAGGCTTCTTCCTCAGAGCCTGTCCCCTCTAGAACACCGAAAGAAAAATAGCCCTGCCACCCTCTGCCAGGCAAGGCCAGTCCTAGGCTGGGCCTGGAGTTCCTTCTCCCATGTCATATCCTGTCCTTTGGGAAATGCAGGGGGCTGTACCACAATCATCCAGGAATCCTCAAGGAAAAGAAAGCAAGCCAGTCTTTGCCTTCCTCTAGTTTAAACCTTCTGGCCCATAATTCTATGCTCATTAATCCCATCCTAGACTGCTCACTATTGCCTGGAGCAACCTCCTCCTAAGGTCCCTCCCTATTCCTCCCCAGTAATCTGATCAGATCTCTCTGTATCACCAGGACAGTCAATTTGATACCAAAATGGCTAAGTGACCAATGAAGGAGAGCATGTAGAGCGTGAATACATGGATAAAGGGATGGTTCACATCCCAGGTGGGCAGAGTGGCACATCGGGAGATTTCATTACACTACTCAGAATGGCCTGCAATTGAAAAATTATGAATTGTTTATCTTTGGAATTTTCCATTTAATATTTTCAGACCAAATCTGAATGGAAAACAAACCTGTACATAAGGCGCGGGGGGCGGGGGGGGGGGCTACTGTATTGCGGCTTCTACAAGGCTTTCCCTAATGTCCATGAATTCATTCACTTGTGTTTTCAGACTTGTGGTCTAAATGGTAAAAATTTTAAGGATTTCTTCCTTCAGAATGTAGTCTAATTTTTCTTTAATGTTTTTCATCATGTCACTCATTTACAATTCACGATCCCAAAAAAGTATTTGAAACAACTAGCAAAGGACAAAGGGCATTTCTTTTTACTTCTGGGTCAGTGAAGTTACTAGATCCAGATAATCATTAAATAACTTAAAAATATAACTTTCCAGAATGTTTTCCCTAAAATAATTTTGGGCAACTCAATTCCAGTCAGAACAGGTAGTTTCTTTGAAAGCCCTTCAGACTCATTCTATTGCCATTTCGGCCACAGTACAACTGCAGGATTTAGAAGGCCAGGTCTGTGGGGCTCGGGCACTCACCAGTTCCCGTTTGACCAGGTCCGTTTTGTCCAGTTCCGCTTTGTCGCGGCCTTCCCACGCCTTCCAGAGGTCCCACCTCCGTGGGACTAGAGGGATTGAGGAGCGCTTCCCGCCCACGCCACGCCCACGCCTCTGCCTCAGCTCGGGCCGCTGCCCTGGCCTTAGTCCCAGCGACAGGGCCCCTGGGTGGGCGCGTGCGCGCAGGCGTGTTCCAATCCTTACGCCTGATGGCAGGGATTTTGGTGAGCGCCGATCCCCGTGTTCGGCTCCGGGCGTTTCTGGTGTTAGCTGGCTCATCTGGGAGGACATATTGCAAACCTCCAGATGTTGGTCTGTGGGATTCAGGAGGAGCTGAGTTCTCTATTCTTTCATTGATAAACCACTCTTCCAGACTGCTCTCCTACCATCCACTATCCTCCTGTCTACTTTACTCCTCAATCTGGATTTTGGCAAACCTTTCCCCAAAAAAGACAATACAGAGCAATGCCAAACACCGAAAATTTGTCAAGGAGTGATGGCTTTTGGAAAGGAGAGGCTTTCTGAATAAGAAACAGCCCTTAGCTAATGTGCCTAAATCGTATTCAGAAACTGCCAAGAAAGGGGACGCTCCTCAAATGGACGACACTTTGAAAATCCTTCTGCCTCCCAAAAAGGAGACTGCTGCCACCAGCAGTGGGTCAGAGCAGCCGCTTCTGGACAAGAAAGCTTCTGTGTCTTGGCACACTCCCACCCCTTCACAGAAGGCTGGTTCTGTTGTAGCTAAAGTAGGTTTGCTGAGGGCGTTCCAGCGTGCCCTTCCAAAGATTAAGAGCCACCCAACTTGCCACCAGAAGAAGGGCCCCCAAAAGAACTCTCCTCAGAAGAATATCCCACAGAACTCCACCCCGGCTCATTCAGAGAATAAATGGACTGGAATATGCCAGATGATGCCAACGAAGATGGTGGCAATTGATTGTGAGAGGGTGGACACAGGACCTAAGGAGTATGTTAGCTCCTTGGCTTGATGTAGGATCATCAGCTACAACGGAGATGTGCTCTTTGGTGAGTACATCCTTCCCCCGCCACATTGTGGACTACCACACCAGATGGAGGGGTATCTGCCAGCACCACATGGTGACTGCTACACCCGTCAAGGTTGCACAGGACCAGATCTTGAAGATACAGGGAAGATAGTGGTGAGACATGCCATCCACAACTACTTCAAAGCTCTTCGATATTTTCACCCCGAGACTCTCACCTGTGACACCTCCTCTATTCCCCCTCTCAACCAGAAGATCAACTGCCCAGAGAATGGTACCATGTCTCTGAAGCATGTCAGCAAGAAGCTGCTGAACTGGGACATCCAGTCTGGAAAAAGTGGATATTCCTCTGTGGAAGATGCTCAGGCCATCATGGAGTTGTACAAGTTGTTTGAAGTTGAATGGGAACATCACCTGGCTCAGAATCCCCCCAAAGATTAGCAGCAGTGGGGACAGCCAAGATGAGAGGAGGCAGAGACAGCACCACACCCATTAGAAATAGGGCAGTGAACCAATGGACGGCCCTACCAGCTCCACACCTTTGGAAACCAGAGTTGCTGAGGAGAAAGAGGCTCCACCCCAGATTTAAGATGTACCGAAATCTCACCTCAGGTGTTGTGCTCTGTGTCTGGTTAAGTGTCCCATGGAAGGAGTAATCTCCACATCAGCACCCAGCCGTATGCTGTTTATCTCTTAAATGGTACTAACTACACTTCCCAGGGTGCTTTGTTCTAGTCAAGCTTTTTGACTTTCAAAGGACAGGGCATACTGGGAAATTCAGTTTCCCAAACTGCCTTATTAGGAGGGTGGCCATATGTCCCATTGTATGCCTTTTGTTCAGCACCCTTTTTACTCTCAAAAGTATCCTGGTTGGATGATAGTTTGTATGACCACATTACATATCAAAGTCTATATTTAGTCTATGTCAGGATATCACCTGTTTTTCTCACCCTGATTTCAAGAGGAGCCATCCCTGGTAAAGTTTAGTTCTCAGGGTTACTAGACCATAGAGGTAAGAGAGTGTGACTTGGAAGTCAACTTTTATGATTTAGGAAAGCATTCTCTTTCTTAAAGCAATAGATGGTTTATTTAACTTAGATCCCACTTGACAGGTTAAAAAATAATTTTACAGTCTTTTACTTTGTTGAACAAAGCCTCTAAAAAACTCAAATTATTCCCTTGATAAATTCTTTTTTTCTTGGTAAATTTTAGTAATGGAAAAAATAAAATAAAAGTCCAGGTTTCCATGTAGTTTTTCCTTATTGCATTTCCTTATCACAGCATAAAAATCTCTGCTGTGTCCTTGGATACAGCTTTCACTCAAATAAAAAATCGACTTAACTGCACTGAGAATGTACAACAATCTCCTGGAAATGGAAAAGGAGGGGTAAGGAATGGTTTTGGGGGCTTAGTCAAGAAGTTTCTCTCAAATTTAAATCCTCAAGTTTATTCTCTAAGACATACTTAGATTTTCACTTTTTTTCCCACTTAAAAAAAACTGGCAAAATATGGTAACATAAAATTTACCATTATGACCATTTTTAAGTGTACAGTTCAGGGGCATTAAGTACATCTGCGTTGTTACACAACCATCACCACCATCCATCCCCAAAACTTTTTTCACCTTGGAAAACTGAAACTCTGTTTCTATTAAACCTGGACAATCAAAAGCTCATTTAGTAGATAATGTTTGTTTGTTTTTTAAGAGTTGGTCCATTCCAACTCTTACATTTCAGTAGCTGGGTAGAAGAATTCATTTACTTCACACCCTCACCAACATTTGGTATTTTCCTTTTTTTTTTTTTTTTTTAACCTCTCTATTCTATTTTGAAATATAAAAACAACTGAAGCAAAGTTTAGATTGCCTTTGGGAATCTTTTAATTTTTGGTTTGGTTCTCTGAATTATTAACCATCTCAGACTTCTACTTTGTCCAGCCACAACATGCAGACTCTGAGTAGTGCGTTTTAGACTTTGCTCTACATTTTTGCCCACTTTGCCCCTCGGATGCCATCCGGTCAAGAAAATAAGGTGTGTGTGTCCAAGGCGGGGGAAAAGTCCTTTGAGTACCGTGGAAGTCAGAGCACCGTGTAGGCGAAATTTATGAGGGCCCTTTTCGGTCAATTTATCTTTACTAGACTCCAATCCACAATCTAGGAGTTCCTGCCCGTCTTCGATTTCCCCACTGCACACCCGGGTCCCCTGAGCCACGGGGAACGCAGAGAACCCCGCGTCTCTTCGACCGGCCAAAACCGGGGTGGAGCCGGGAGGGGGACCTGGTCCCCGCAGAGCATGCGCAGACCAACGCCGGCGCATGCTCGGCGACGCGGCGGGTCCACAGATGAGGGGAGTCGAGTCTCCCGCGCCCCACCATCCCCGGCGGAGCTGCGGCTGAGCCGCTTGTTTTGCGTCCTGACTGCCAATAAAGTTTGTTAAAAAAAAATCATAGTCATTCTTAAAAGAGCGAAAGAGGGCGCGAGCCAGCCGGGTGGCCGCGCCGCGGGAGCCGGCGCGCTAGGAGGAGGAGGAGGTGGTGACGGCGGCGGCAGCGGTTGCGCCGCGACCAGGAGGAGCCGGTCTCGCCGGGCTGCGGGTCCGCTGCGGCGGGGGACGGTGAGTGGCGGCTCGCACTCCGGTATAGCGGCGCTGCACTTATTCGCCTTCTCCAAGGGCTGAGGACTTTTCCGTCTCCCCTGGGGAAGGACCCGCCTGTCCGCGGGGTCCTGGGATGTCCTTTTCTCTAGGGACTGGAGAAGGGTTTGGGGGTCAGGGGCCTCCAGGCCCGGGCTCCCATCCCCCGGCCCAGGCCGCCGAGCGCACGCTTCCCCTCCTCTGAGCTTGGGGTCCAAGTTTCGGCTGGAGGAGGTGGGAGGCGGCGCCTGCCCGGCGCCCCCTCCCAGCGGTCTGGTCTTCCTGGGTGTGGGTGCCTGGAATTGCCCCTTGGGCGGGAATGCGCGAGGTGGAACTGGGGTGAGGCGCTGTGTCCCCAGCCTGGCGGAGCTCCTGGCTGGTTGCTCTCCCCCGGTCCCCAGATAGAGAAGGGACGACCCTGGCGGGTCGGGACACCAGCTGAGGGGCAGTATGTGCCCGGGTTAGGTTTACTGGGGAACAGCTGGTCCCTGCGGAGGGCCCCTCCTAACCCGCGGCCCCACCCTTCCCTAGTTTCTTGCTCAGACTGGTGGAATATGAATGAGCCAGACTGCGCTATTTCATTGACACTGGAAGCCACAGAAGTACTTTACTCGAACCGAGGAGCCCTAGACAGCTCCCAGGCTGAGGAACCTGAGGGTGTGTGAAGGAGTAGAACTAAACTTCGTTATCAAGTAGCAGTAGACTCTGAAAAGTGCCATTTACTTCTCTAGCTTTTATGTAACTCCTAACACGTAGGAGTGAATATAATCATACCTATACTAAGTACAGGCTGTGCTGTAAGAAAACAAACAATAACCCTTTTGATCAGTGAGTTACTCTTTTCTGATTTACAAGATTGCTTTGGTTGACAGAATCTTTTAAATGAAATTTGGAGTAAAAAGTAGGTAGAGCTTTTTAATTATTGTACTTGGAATTATGCTTATTTTCTAAGAACTAAACTGTTTTAATATAGTACTTTAAGACTACAGAGTAGGAGTGACAATCACAAACGTCACACTGCCTGTGCTAAAATCTGATTGCATTTTTTTCATTCAAATTTTATTATTTTTTAAATTATGATATAGTATAATTGACTTTTTTGAGTTAGGTTCTTTGAATTTTAGATTCATGTTACCTCCATGACAATCAGGATATAGAATAGTTCTGTCACCTCCCCTCAAAAAACTCATGCTGTCGTTTTATATACTTTCTGTAACTCAGCAATCACAGCTGGCTCCTCGACTTAAGGTAGAGTTAGGACCTGACAAACCCATTGTAAATTCAAAATAAGTGGAGACCCTGGCCAGGTAGCTCAGTTGGTTAAAGCATCGTCCCCATAAGCCAAGGTTGTGAGTTGGATCCAGGTCAGGGCACTTACAAGAATTGACCAGTGAATGTATGAATAAATGGAACAACAATTCAGTGTTTCTCTCCCTCTCCCACCTTCTCCCTTTCTGTCCCTCATCTCCCTCCCCCTCCTCCTCTCCCTCTTCCTCTCTCTAAAAATCAATTTAAAAAATAAGTCGAAATGCATTTAATACATAGTATACTGTAGGGTATCAGTTGTTTAACCTTCTGAATTCCTGGCTTGGTGTGAGTTGCGGCCCTGGTTGTATCCCAGCATCACAAGAGTATATCATATTGTATATCACTAGCCTGAGAAAAGGTCAAAATGCAAAACTGAGGTGTGGTTTCTACTGAATTCCTGTTGTTTTCACACCATCGTAAAGTTGAAAATCATAAGTTGAACCATGTAAGTCTGGAACCATCTGTACTGATCTTTTCTAGAATGTCATATACAGTAAATGGAATCATGTAATACATAATCTTTTGATATAATCTTTCAGCATAATGCCTTTGAGATTACTACAAGTTGTTGGGTGTATCAACAGTTTTTTTTTTATTTCTAAGTAGTATTCCATGAGATGGATGTACCACAGTTTGTTTATACATCTTCCCATTGAAGGACATTTGGATTGTTTCCAGTTTTTCATGATTATGAATAGAGCTGCTATAAACATTTGTGTACAGATTTTTTTTTAAACATACACATCTATCTTTATCATTGTCCTTTAAACCTTGATTTTATAAAACACAAAAAGACATTTTTAAGAATTCTGTATCACCAAAACTTAAATAGTAGACATAGTAATAGCTTTGTAAGTATAAATTATATACATTAAATCAAATAATTGGAGATTTTTTCAATATGGAAACTATAAAAGTGAAATAAATTGTGAAGAAACCTAACAGGAATATTTTGTTTTTGTATGAATTATCAGTTACTTTAGGACCTAAACAGAAATTCTGACTAGTCAGACTTACTTTGCTCTTTCATATTTACCTATATTCTGAGTCAAGCTACTTGACCAAAAAGTCTGATTACAAAGGCATTTAGCTTTATAGCAAAAGTTTTCCCATCTAGTGATCGCCTTCAGAGAAAATGAAATGACATTTTTAATGTCATCTGCTGGTTCCCTTTTGAACAGTATGCAAAAAGTTACATCAACTCTGTGGAAAGTCAAACAGGTACCCCAAAATGGGACAGTTATGTGCAGTTCAGTAAAGTATAATGGTAAGTTTTCCCCATCTAAAAATTAATCATTGAAATACATCACGAACTATAGTTGTCTCGGTTTCAGGAAACACACATTTGAGAATTCCGTTTTTGTTCTTGGCTCATCTTCACTCAAGGACAGGGATTTTGTAGGCCACCATGCTGGTTACTTTGTGGATTGTAGAAGTGAAGGAACACAGACGGACAGCTCAGAGCTGATGATGAACTGTGCTCCCGGCTCTTACCCTTTTCAGGTACAACCAAATCTTTGTATAGATCAACAGATCAAGTGAACAAGAAACTTCCAGCAGGGGCAGAAATGTCACTGTAGCTGTGATCTGTCGGATCGCTGCGCGGAATTCATCTTGACTAGCTTGCTCAGATTTTTCTCTGGGAGCACTATCAGCTTTGGCAGTCTTGTTACACTCAGTATCAAACTGCCATCTTTCAAGGACCCTGCCACTTTGAATATTTGAGATTGACAACCACCAATTTCTGATCTGAACACTTGTATAACCAATCTTTTAGTTGTTCCACCACATTTCTTAGGTATTTCATGAGTTCAGGGTTAGTAAGCAAGGTGAGTCTGTATTTCTGCACCCAAGGTTTCAGAGGGATAAATGCTATGCGGATATAAAATGTTGTTGATGTCAAATGAGAACAAGCGCACAATTTTGGCACTCCCGCATAGCACAGGGTGATGCCCTGTTCCCCAGAGAGCTGTCACGCCAAGGCCAGGCACCTGGCCATGTCGTGCCCGCCCCCTCCAGGACCGCACACAGCAACTGCAGGACGCTTTTTCGTTTTTTTTTTTTATTAATGAACATAAGTTTTCATTTTTTTCATTTCATATTGGTAGTAGTTGAATTGCAGGGTCATGTAAAGTATGTTTAACTTTATAAGAAACTGTCAAACTGAGTGGCTGTATCATTTTGCATTTTGACCATTCAATAAATATGTAGTGGTGTCTTGTGGTTTTAAAGTATCTTTAACTAATGGCTAAAGATTTGAATATCTTTTCATGTGTTTATTTGGCATATATAATCTTTGCTGAGTGTTTGGCCAAGAGTTTTGCCCATTTTTTGAGTTGTTTGCTTATGTTGAGTTTTGAGGGTTCTTTATATGTTATGGATACAAGTTATTTGGTTGATACATGTATTGCAAGTATTTTCTCTCAGTCTTTACCTTGTCTTTTCATTCTTTTAACAGTCACAGAGCAAACGTTTTAATTTTGATGATGTGTAATCTACCAATTTTTTGTTCTGTGGATCTTTTGTTATCATTTCTAAGAACTCTGCCTAATTCCAGGTCATAAATATTTTCACCTTCTAAAAGTTTTTTCTAAAAATTATAGTTTTACATCTGTGTCTACAATCTATTTGGGGAATTATTTGTACAAAGTGTGAGGTTTAGGGGAAGGTTTAGTTTTTTACATATTAATGTCCAGTCGTTCCATTGAAAAGGCTGTCTTCTCCATTGAATTTTTTTTGCACTTTTGTCAAAAATCAATTTGCTCCGTTCGTGTGGGTCAAATTTGGGGCCTTCTGTTCTATTCCATTGATTTATGTATCTTCCTTTTTGTTAGTGTCACACTTTTTTAATTAATGTAGCTTTATAGTGTATTAATATCAGGTAATGAGATTTCCTCCAATTTTATTCTTTCTCAAAATTGTTTTAGCTATTCTAGTTTCTTTGCCTTTCCATATAAAGTTTAGAATCAGCTTGTTTCTAACTACAAAAAGTCCTGCTGATACTTTGGAATTGCATTAAGTCGTAAATCGATTTTGGAAGACTTACTATAAAAACAAGTAAACAAAAACAAATCAAGTAAAAACTTGATTTAGTCGTCTCATCTATGAACATGCTATGTCTTCCCATTTATTTAGGTCTTTGTTTCATCTGCGTTTGTAATTTTCAGCATACAGATCCTGTATCTGTTTTATTAGATTTATTCCAAAGTATTTAATACTTTTGGAACTCTAGTAAATGTCATTTAAAACTTTTTGGTTTCAAAGTGTACATTTTGAGGATATAGAAATACAGTTAATGTTGTGTGTTGCTCTTTATTATGTATCCTTACTAAACTCACTTATTAACTCCAAGGTTTTGTTGGTTTTTTTTTTTTATTCCTTGGAGTTTTCTACTTAGACAATCATGTCATCTGTGACTACAGACAGTTTTATTTTTTTCCCTTATCTAAACATTTCTTTTTCTTTATTTTTTTTCTCTTAGCCTGGCTAGCCCTTCATGAATGATGAATAGGAGAGGTGAGAGTGTGTATTTCCCATCAATGGGGAAAGGATCAGTCAGAACTAATTATGATGTTAGCTGTAGGGTTTTTAACAGAAGCTCTTTATCAGGTTAAGAAATTCTCCTCTGTTTCTAGGTTGCTGAGAGTTTTTCTCAGAAATAAATGTTGAATTTTGTTCAATATTTTCTTTGCATTAATTGATATGGTGATGTGGTTTTTCTTCTTTACCCTGTTAATTGGATTATAGTGATTGATTTTTGAGTATTGAACTAGTCTTGTATTCCTAAAATACAGCCCACTTGGTCCTGGTTATTCTTTTTATATATTACTGGATTGGGTTTATAAATATTTTGTTGAGAATTTTTGCATCTGTGTTCATGATGGGGTATTGTCTTTTTTTTTTTCTTTTAATATTGTCTGTGTGTGGTGTTGGTAACAAGACAATGCTGGCTTTATGAATAAACTGGAAAGTGTTTCCTCTTACATATTCTGGAAGAGATTGTGTATCATTGGTGTTAATTCTTGAATAGTTTTAGAATTCTTTGATGAAATCATCTAAGCCTGGAGATTTCTTTTTGAGTTGTTTTTTTTTATTTTTATTTTTTTGAGGGAGAGAGACATCTGTGTGTGAGAGAGAAACATCAATCAGTTGCCTCCCGTAAGCACCTGGTCTGGGGACAAACCCGTAACCCAGGTATGTGCCCTAACCGGGAATCAATCCTGCAGCCTTTCAGTTACAGGGCAATGCTCCAGCCATCCGAGCCACATTGGCTAGGGCTCTTTTTGAGTTTTTCAAGTTACAAATTCAATTTCCGTAATAGCTATGGGGATAATCAGATGATGTATTTCATTCATAGTGAATGAGTAGTGGTAGTTAATACTTTTCTGAGAATCGATCCATTTCATCTAAGTTGTCAAAGTTATGTGTGTAGAGTTGTTTGTTGTATCATTCTTTTGAGTCTGCAGAGCCTGTAGTGATATCCCTATTTTTATTCCTGATATTGGTAATTTGTGTGTTTTTCCCGTTTGTCAACTTTATTGATCTTTTCAAAAACCCAGATTTTTGTTTCATTTATTTTTCTGTTTTGAGTTTCATTGATTTCTGCTCTTATCTTTATTATTTCCATCCTTTTGCTCACTTTGGGCTTATTTGCTCTTCTATTTTCTTGAAGTGATAGCCCAGATTATTAACTTGAGACTCTTTTCCTAAGGTAAGCATTCAGTGCTGTAAATTTTCCCTCTCAGCACAATATTATCTATGTACCACAAATTTTGAAATATTATCTCTTCATTTTCCTTCAGCTCAATTACTTTTTTAAATTTCTCTTGAACTTCTCTGTTAGTCCACAAATTGTTTCAAAGTCTATATTTTTAGTTTCCAGATGTTTGGAGATTTTTCCATTATCTTTTTTTTTTTTTTAATTTATTTTTTCAAATACATTTGTCTCTGCCAACCCCCCACCACTTTCCCTTGCCCCCTCCCTCCATCTCTCCCTCAGCTCTTCCCCTTTGGTTTTGTCCATGAGTCCTTCCTATATGTTCCTTGACTTTCCCCTTCCCTTCCTTTTCCCTGCCCATTATCTTTCCATTATCTTTCTGTTTCTGATTTCTAGTTTGATTCCATTGTGATCCCATTATTTTAAGTTTCTTGAGGTTTGTTTTATGGCCTAGTATATGTTCAGTGGGTGCTTGAAAGAAGTATATTCTTCTGTTGTCATGTAGACAGGTCTCTTCATGTTCATTCGACTCTGATAGTTTTATTGTTTTTAGAATTTCTATTTGTTTTTTCTGCAGTGTTTTTTATGTGTATCTCTTTGTGAAACCTCTTTAGGGGTTGCTCTGGGTATTACTTTGTATTTATGTAGTTTATCACAACCTATCGGTGCCAACATTTTACCAGTTCAAGTGAAGTATAGAAACCTTACCTTCCTTTACATCTCATCATCCTCTTCATTTGTGTTAATTGTCTTAAATATATTCCCTACATATATTGAAAACCACATTGGAGAGTGTTAGAGTTTTTGTTTCAACTGTCAAACATAATTTAGTGCACTTGAGAGGAGGAGTCTGTTTATTTACCCATATTTTTGCATCCCCCATGTTCTTTGTTCTGATATTCTCAGTTTTGGGTTTTTTAAAATTACTTAACTTTGTCTGGGATGGAGACCTAGAACCAGTACTTTAAGAAGTGCTTCTAGGTGATTCTTCTCATCATGCAAGTTTATGAAGCACTGGGGACAGTTACTGAAACTTCATTAGGGACAAAGAAAAGAATGTTCTTCACATTGCAGACGTTGTGTAGTGGTTGTGTAGATGGATTTTTCATTTAAGGTAATTGTAATAGCTAAGTAAACAGGAACTTTACTAGTAATTTTAAGAAATATGAAGAAGTTGACATTCTGTTCTTTTCAGTCTAAAATGCAAACAGTACTTGCTCTGTTACTTTCATTATATGAGTGACAATAACTAATCTGAAACTAAATTCTAAAGAAAGAATGTGTGGTATAAGATTATTGTGGGGGACTCATTGTCACCTGCGCACTAAAGCTCTGTAACTAAGAGTCTGATGCTGTCATGCAGTTGTACATTATTATACCTTTCTTTGGGGTGCTTTTATGGGGGCGTTATTATTACCTGTGAGGTTGAAAAGCAGTTTCTTTAGATTTTGTGTTTGTTGCCCACTGGTGGTAATAACTATGGAGAATTTTGTATGTTGTATGTACCTACCATTTTTTGAACAATCAACTTCCACTATGCTAGGTGCTTTATAAGTAACACCGATCAACAATCCTATGAGGTAAACATCCTCAGAAAATTGAAACTTGAAGAGGTTAAGCAATAACTTCATTAAGGGTAAACGCAACTTTAAATCAGGCCTTAACTCTAACCATCCATAGTCTGCCTCTGTGAAAGGCAAAGCTATGTAATCTAGGCATGTATTGATACCTGGATGTCATACATTGTGCTGTTGATAAAGGATTCATAAATGAATGATACTGTTGCCCTTCCTTTCAAAGAATTTGCCTTAGCTAAACAGTATGGGAAGGGGGCCTTCATTATGGAAACAAATTCTTGCAAAATAATTACTCCCTGATAAAACAATTATAGCCTATTTTACTTTGTATACCTTTTATATCATGGAAAAAAATAATTTTATTTTCATTTTAAACTACAGATTTAAGATAGAAGATCTGATCACCTGGAATTAAAGTTGGTACAGAAACCTTTTCAACTCCAGAAATGTTGGAGGAAGATATGGAAGTGGCCATCAAGATGGTGGTTGTCGGGAATGGAGCTGTTGGGAAATCAAGCATGATTCAGCGATATTGCAAAGGCATTTTTACAAAAGATTATAAGAAAACCATTGGAGTTGATTTTTTGGAGCGACAAATCCAGTATGTACTTGGCCATTTTATCCTCTTGGTTTTGATTTGTGAACTGTGTCCAAGACTTTACAGTCCAAGATCAGGCATCTCGTGGCAGTGGCTCATGAGACAGTTGGTGGTTTTCAATCACTTACGCTCTGTGTGACTTTATCCTTCTCTTTTTTCCCCCCATCCTTTCATCTCTTTTCCCTTCCTCTCATATATTCTTTTCTTTTTTTCCTATTGCCTCCCCCATCCCTGTTTATCTTATCTTGTATCTGTTTTGTATTTATTGGTGGTACTTTAGGCACTTCTTAAACACAAAATGACTAATGAGATTTCCGTCCACTATTTTATTTTGAAGGAAAGTTACTTGTCTATCAGAATAGTTCTCATTTCTTATATTATGGGATCCTTTTGTTCAGAATGTCTCTTCTTTTTTTAAAACTGGGCAAGACTGTATAGAAGTTAGAGAATTAATATTTGTTTTTACTCTAAAGAAATAAAAGAAAGCAGATTTAGATTAAATATTAGTATAGAAAGGAAATCTTACTTCAGGAAATCCATTTGGATTCTAAAACACATCAAAGTAACATTTGGTATTAATCCTGAGAACTTTTTAGGCTATCTTAAATTTTAAGAGACAAACGAAACCGTATTACAGAAATAAATAACATCAAACAAACCTGACTTAACTAGCCCAGACATTAGAATCAAAGGTAATTGTGTTCACTGTGTTAAATATTTTTGAATTTTTAATTTGTATTCTTTTACCCTGTTTTTAAAAATATTTTTTTATTTACTTCCTTTAGATATTTTAAGAGGATTCATTTAAAGTCTTGATGATGTTTGTTTTTGTACTTGTTATCAGAACCAAATTAGTTTTTTTAATCCTCACCCAGGGATATGTTTATTGATTTTTAGAGAGAGAGGAAGGGAGACAGGAAAAAATGTGAGAAATGTGCCCTGAGCGGGGATTGAACCTGTAACCTAGGTGTGTGCACTGACCAGGATTTGAATCCACAGCGTTTTGGTGTACAAGATGATGCTCCAACCAACTGAGCCACTGGCCAGGCTGAGCCAAATTAATATTTTAAGTGTACAGTTGATTGTCATTATTCATGGATTTGGTATTTACAAATTTACCTACTTGCTAAAATTTATCTGTAATCCCAGAATCAATACTCCCAGTGCTTTGGTGGTCATTTCATGGACATCCATAGAGCAGCAAAAAATTTGAGTCATCCACTACACGCATTTCCAGTCTGGGTGGAATAAGGCAACCCTCTTTATTCATCTCTCATATGGTAAACAAGTGTCCTTGTAGTGTTCTGTTTTTGTGCCACATTTCTGTGCCTTTTGTTGGTGATTTCACTGTTTAAAATGGTCCCAAGCATAGTGCTAAAATGCTGTCTAGTGGTCCCAAGTATAAGAAGGCCGTATGTGGTATGCCTTATGGAGAAAATACATGTTTTAGCTAAGCTTCATTCAGGCATAGTTATGTGCTGTAAGCTGTGAGTTATGTTAATGAATTAACAACATATATTAAATAAGAGGTGTTTAAAGGGAACCACACAAAAAACAAGATTATGTATTGATCAGTGGATGAAAATGTAACCAGGGGCTGGCAGGAATCTAACCCTCTGTTTCTCCCTAAGAGCAGTAGTTCAGTATTTGCTATAGAGTATTACCATGAATAAGACAGTGGACTGTATAACAAAATAGAGTATATTTTTTAGTTAAAGAGCAACCAAGCAGGTAAGCTTCTGCTTTGCTTTCTTATTCTATTACTTGTGCACCAGAACCTGGTGGAATGTTGCAAAGAGGAGAGCAAGCACCGACCTGAGGGAATTCCTCTTTCCCAGTACTGCTAGTCTTAGGGCCACCGCTATCAGTGACTGTTGTCAAAGGGAAGAATGTGCAAGGTAAACCCAAATCATGTGTAAAATTATAGCTTTGGGGGAATGTCTTTCACCCTTACTTTCACCATTGGTAATTTCATCAGCATTTAAAAGTACTCAGACTTTTTCAGAGTGAAACCAACAACGTTATACTACTTCCATCATTGAAAAGTAAAAATATACACACAGCTGTGTTACTAACAACATTTCCTTTACATATGAAATAAATTTATCTCTTGTTTCAGAGTTAATGATGAAGATGTCAGACTAATGTTATGGGATACAGCAGGTCAAGAGGAATTCGATGCAATAACAAAGGCCTACTATCGAGGTAAATTATGAAATTTTTGTTTCTTTGGGCATATTCTTTTGGCTAACCAAAGAATTTTGCTTCATTTTGTTTCCCATAGAAAGGTTTCTTTTTAAGAAAAATTAATTTCAAAGCATTTTTTATAATACCGAGTCATTATTCTTCTAAAGATCCTGTTGAGCGGTAAATAATACTTTGTTCTATAGTCAGTATGTCCCTGCCTTTAGAATTACATGAGTAGGTATTCTGAGACCTAATCAGCCAGAAACTGTTAAATTCCTACTTCTAACCCCAGGAAGTGACTACATAGTCAGAGAGTGGAAACTATCATATAAATAGGTAAAGCCCCTGCAAATAGGAAAACATTCAGTTATGATGCGTGAGATTTCACAGGTAAAGCCTTTTCAGTGCTGCAGAAGTTCAAAGAAGCATGAGATACATGTGAAGGGAAAGAACTATTGCTGTAGGATTTAACATCTAAAATGCAGGGTTAAATTCCTCAAGAAAAGCCCAGATTCCTAAGTTTCCATTACATTTTCCTATAAAATTTTGTCCTTTTCTTTTGGAATTTAAAACAGCATTTTTACTGTTTCTCCAACTCACCGCCAAGGTGGTTGTAATGAGAGCAAAGTAACTGAAAGCTTAATCTAGTACCATGTAGTGTTATAGCCTATTGGTGCTTTTGAACTCCCTCCTGTGTCTTGTTTTTTCTACTTTTGAAATGTGGAATTTATTATTACAATGGCTACTGAGGTCTAATTACACTAAAATATAAGGAACCAAAATGTCCTTTCTAAATTGGTAACAAGGAAGATTGACTTCCACTTCCAGCTCTAGGAAAACATTTTGGTTCTCTGAGAAATAAGAGAAGTACACCTCTCAGGTGTCACCCTAATAATGTCACCACTCCTTACTGCTCACTCTATTTACTGTGTCCTTAGTAGCTTTGAGTATTGCTCTCCTGTGGATGCCAGTTTGGATCTTGAGCACCTGTGTCACGGTGTGAGGTGAAGTTATGTTCTTACTCCCCAAAGCTGTTAAAATAGATGGTATTCTTACTAAATTATGAATTTCATGAGCATTTACACTGTTGATTAACAGATCATAAATGTATAGTTTATTTTTTGAAGATTATATTTATTTATTTTCAGAGAAAGGGGAAGAGAGGGAGAAAGAGGGAGAGAGAAACATCGATGTGAGAGAGAAACATCAGTTGGTTGCCTCTTGGACGCCCCAAAAGGGAACCTGGCCCACAACCCAGGCATGAGCCCTGGCAGGAAATTGAACCAGCGACCCCTTGGTCTGCTGGCTGGCGCTCAATCCACTGAGCCACACCAGCCAGGGTCAGTTTATTCTTGAGTAAAGGTTATTTGTATTTTTTTAGTGGGGTTATTATCACTACAACTGTGTCCTCCCCTCTTCCCGCACAACACACAGGAAGAAATAAAACAAACAAAAAATAAGGTGGAAACATCAACTAGTAGTAGGATTGTATGTGACTGTCATTATTTTCTTTTTACCTACCTTTTTTCTCTACAAAGCCTTGCTATGAAATGTATGTTCTTTTTGTGAGGGGGAAAAAAAATAGGTTGGGCTATTTCTTTTTAAACTTTTGACAGTATGATATGGTAGTATTAGTTTTTAAACCAGTATATTATTTTTGGAGACTGTGTTTATTCTTTTGTATCTGTAATTTAAAAAGGCAAAACTGTGTGAGGCTACAATTATCCCAAAATAAAGTTTAACTTAAAAAAAGGCAAAACTGTTTAAATGTCAAAAATGACTTGATTTGTATATAAATAAAAAGAAGAAAGTATTGGAACCATACAGTTAAGTAGGTCATTTGGGTCCCTGGTTTAAAAAACAAACAAACAAACAAATAAAACATGACCAGGCAGCTAAAAATATTTTAATTTGCACTGTAGTTGAGGTATTAATGCTTTTTCCATTATTCCCGTAAGACTGTTAAACATTATTGTCTCATAATTTTTTAAATTTGGCTCATCCAGTTTGCAGCGTACTTTTTGTTTGGTACTTTTTAGTTGTCCACAAGTCATACCATTTTTCTTTAATATGTCTATAAAAAACATTCTGTACCAGAAACTAAAGAGAGCCCATAATTAGTATTTACATCTTAATTTAGAATGGGTGATATTTACATTTCTTTCCACTTTGTTTCCTTTGAACTAAAAGGCTTTAAACAGCTTTGCTTTCCCAATATTTAACATTTTATTTTAAGAATAATCTTAAGCATATAAGTAGATGTCTGTTAAAAGCTTTTCTTAAGCCCCGGCTGATGTGGCTCGATTGGTTGGAGCATTATCCAGTAAACCCAAAGTTGGTGGGTGGATTCCCCATCAGGGCTCATGCCTGAGTTGCAGTTTCAGTCTCAGTCTGGGTGCATTTTAGAGCAACTGATTCATGTTTCTCTCCCTCTCCGTCCCTTCCCCTCTTTCTAAAATCAATAGGCATGTCCTCTAGTGAGGATTTTTTTTTTAAAAAAAGGCTTTACTTAAAATGTCTCTTTTTTTTTAGCCAACTATGTTAAAATGGCAAAGAAGGTAGGAGCCCTTTATCACATCTCAATTTAAATTAAGGAACATACAGTGGCAATTATACATAAATTTGAGAAATGACATATTTAACATTCTTTTAAGCTTTCCTTTGAGGTTCCATCAGAATACTTTTGGCTGCTGACAACAGAAAAGCAATTTCAAACTGACTTAAACTACAAACTTTATTGACTTGTTTAATAGAAAACTGGGAGTACCATAGCTTTCAGTTGTAGTTTGTTAGCCATTGGTTCTCCTGGCTTGCCTACCTCCCTGGATGCGGTTCTTCTGCATGCTGATTTTCCTGTTGGTTTGCAAGGTTGCTACCATCAGCAATCAAAGCCGCTTGGGTTTTCACCTCCTTGAGGGGAGAGAGTTGCTCCCCACAACAATGGATCAGAAGTCCTGAGCTTATATCTGATTAGATCACCCTAGACTAGATTACAGTAAGTAGTCAGGGGATTGTGATTTCCCTAATTGGCTTGGTGCAATTAGAGGCTCAACTCCCAGAGCAGAGGATGCACTTAGCCTGTGTAAACCATCGTTAAAGTACAATGGGGAGAGGTGTTCTCAGAAAGGGAGGGGACCTGGGATGCCAGTTAGGCAACCAGGCAATATCTGCTACTAGTATATATTCAGATGATAATGTAATTAAATAGAAATAAGGACTAGGAAGAGAAGGAAAGGGCTAGGAAGCATGAATTAAGATACAGGTTTAGTGGTGAAACACTATGCTTTATGAAATTATGATTTATTAGCTTATGTCCTAGAACGTAGTATTCAAGAAGCATACAAATTTTGTAAATTTTATTTTTAAAGAAAAATTAAACTATAATTGATTGAAAAGACCTATTATACCAAAAACCATTGCTCAAAAGCATTATTATGTTTTTGGAATGAATGCCGGCTTAATTGTTTAGTGAGACATGTTGAAACATGACCTCCTTGTAAATAGGGTAGAATAGAGCACAGATAAATACTAAGGATCCTCTTGGGATCCCAAATTATTTCTCTTAAGCTCTTAAAGAAGTCTAGCCTAGGAAGTAGAAACCATACTTAGTACAAAAAGTTACATACAACATAGAATAGACTTTCGTTATGCTTTTTACTGTGATTCGTTCTAAGAAATAGATGCTTCTTTTTAGCAACGTATGGAAATGAAGTTATAGACTTGAGACCTATTACCTAAGATTATGCACATATATGGAAGGAACCCCTTATTTTTTAAAAAATGTACTTTCACAAACAAATTAATATAAATTGTTGGGAATGAAATAGCTCTAGAGAAGAAGCTGTTTATAAGTTACAATTTTAAGTGCAAGCATTAGGAACAACAATTACGCTATACAGGTCTCTCAGATGTGTTTTGAAATTATATGAGCATGGAATCCGTGATAGATTGGTTCAATGAATAATTTGTATGCTTTAGGTTATATGAAGTGTCTAAGAGAATAAGAGACAAGGACTTTAAATCTAGAGTAGTATCTATAATAGTATATAAAACCCTGTGTTTCTCATTGGTCTTTGCCGTTGTCAGATTTTGTGTGGTGTTCTGTAGAGCAGTGTATCTTAAATTTTAATGTGGAAATGAATCCCCCAGGGAGCTTGTTAAAATGCAGACTCTCATTCACTAGCTCTGTGGGAGGCTCTGAGAGTCTTCACTTCTACAACCTTGCAGGTGACATTGATGCCGCTGGTCCTCAGCTAAACTCAGAACAAGTCTGGAGATCATCTTGTGGAGTCTTTCAGTTATTTGAGGGTAGAATTACTCCCTATTCAGGGCTTTTCAACCTGTGGTCCAGGATGGCTGTGAATGCAGCCCAACAGAAAATCATAAATTAACTTAGAATGTGAGGTTTTTTTGTGATTACGTGTCACAGTGTATTTAATTTGTGGCCCAAGACAACTCTTCTTCCTGTGTGGCCCAGAGATGCCAAATTTTGGACACTTCTGCTCTATATGTTGTATGTCTTGGGGAATATTTTCTGAATTGTACTCAGAAATAGTAACAGTTTTTTTAATGATCTTATAAATTAGGAATAGATATTTGCTATTGGTGATCTTATACTTGACACCAGAAATTTATTTTGACCTTCTTTTTCTGATGTGTAGATAACGGGATAGTTTGTTAACTATTAGAGGTGGTTTCTTCGTGGGGCAGTTTACTGATATCTCTGATGATGAAGTAAGTTTTCCAACAGTGTAATTTTTAGGGTAGGTAGTATAAGAAGGAAGGTTGAACAGTAGGAAAATAAAGGACTATGTAGAATACATGGATAGAAAAACACCTGCTGTCTTTAAATATCAAAGGAATAAGGTATGTTCAAATGACTACAACAGAGAAATTAAAACATTAACTTTCCTAAAGATAACCATAACTGCCCTGGTTGGTGTGGCTCAGTGGATTGAGTGCCAGCCTGTGAACCAAAGAGTCACCAATTCTATTCCCAGTTAGGGCATGGGCCTGGG